TTCTCTAGGATAGGTTATCCTCTAAAGCATTTGTTTCTTTAGGGGATTCCTCTTTCTATGCTCCACGATTGGCTCTTTTTTCCTGCTTGCATTTCCCATTTCTTCATCTAATAAATTTTTTAATAAAAAATATACTTCTACTCCAAAAAAGATTTTGGTTAACATACAAACACATAGAAGTTGTTATGCATAAACATCCATATATATATATATATAAGAATAAGAACTAGAAAATACTGTTGTGAAACAAATTGAATGTCAAATTATTATTAAAAAATATATTTTCTTCAGATAAAGAGAAATAGGTGTTTCAATACTAAAAAATATGAGTAATAAAATCAGCTAAGGATCACATTAGTTGAAGTCTCTCTAAAATTTCATACAGACCTCAATTGAATCATAAAATAAATAACAGTGAGTAACATTGTAACAGATGGCCATCACAAAGTAACTCGATCAATTTAACCACTTTTTCTATATTTCTTGTTATGGTCAAGTGGAAAACGGGATTAAGAAAAAGACCAAGACACGAAAATGGATCATACAGCATATGAAAAATTACTTCAGAATGATATATAGTAGAAGAGATGATACACAAAATTATACAGCAAACTAAATGCATATTTTAAACATATTTTAAACCTCATATATACAGGTTTTCTACGATGAAAAAAGTAGATAGTTCATTACAATTAATTACATAGAGTGCAATCTGCTCTTATAACTTTTAACCTAATTCACTAAATAGAGTATAATAGACTCTATACCTTTTAACCTAGTTCCTCATTTCTCCAACAATGAATAGAAAAGATGAAGGTGGGTCTCCTTGCGTCAAACACCAAATAACTTAACCCACTCCTGAAGTTTCCCATTCATAATTGCTAAGAAAAAGGTAGAGAACATGACGTGACCGTAAGAAGGCATCCTAGTTACCCGGTAAGTAACAATCAGAATTCGTGCCAACCCAGAAACAAAATCTGGAAGAAACCTATACCAAGAAAATGAAGTTGAGATTCGACGACAAGCCCCAATCCTGTGAAGCCCGAAGATCCAGTTCGTGCAAGATTAGATTGGATAAGGTGGATCATTAATGCCATCAAGACCAGGAAACCTTATGAGCCACCAAGACAATCAGCCCAAGAAAGTATTGAAGATGATGAGTTGTGAGCTTTCAGTTGATTCAGGAAGACGAAGGTGGCGCATCCGAGGCCGCACATGGAGCGGAAGCATCCGTGGGTGGGTGGGCGACTCGAGTTACCTGACAACCCCACGGCCCGCTTGGCCTAGCCCGCAGGCTAGCAGGTTCCACACCAGAGGAGAACAAATGGCCCATGCCGCATG